ACCACCAATGCGTTCATCGGGATGCAAGAATATGTTGAAATCACCGCTAATCATCCACGGTAATCCCTCCATACTCTCAGCAATCTCACGCATGGTGTCCCAGAGGACATATAGACCAACCCTCGCACAGCTGGCGTAAACCAAAGTGTGGAAGATCGGCTCCGGAAGATGGGCGACGGTGAGTTTCACGTGCAAGACTTGATCAGTATCTCGAAGGATCTGACAAGTAAAGTCACGTGAGTGGAAAAACCAAATCTTGTTAGAGGTGTTTCCCATCCCGGCATGAAAACCAAGGCATCGCGTATATACGTCAAAAGAAGGGTCACGAGTCATAGGTTCTAAGAAAGCCGCAAAGTCAAGGTTGTGCTCACGAATGAGAGATCTAACATGAGCAAGAGTGGTCCTATTAGCCAGACCACGGGCATTCCATGTAAGCGATGTGACTGACATGTCAAACGTCAGTGATACCGCCTAACTGGAGCTGTCCGTGGTTAGGCTGAGTCTATATGTCTGGTAGGGTCAGAGCTCGGCTAGCAGAGAGCTGCGCAGTCATCGATCTGGTCTGTGGTCTCCGGAGCTCTGAGACCTCCTGGAAAGGTCCCCCTTGTATAGGGGGAAACTCCTGGGGTAAGAGGATGAGCTGAAGGTGCTCCAAAACCTCGGGGCTCTGCGCCTGGCCCTGAGGGGAAGACGGTCTAAGCTCACTAGCGGGGGATGAAGAGGAAGTGGAAGGTAGGGTCAGAAGTGGGCGAGCTGGTGGGCAAAGAAGTGAGGTAAGGTGGGGGGAGAGCTCTACGATCATGAGAGCTGAGGAGGAAGGAGAGGACTCGATACACAGTGGGATGGTAGGCGACTCTATCTCCTCCACTAAAAGGTCATCATCATCAAAAGGGGAGCTGGTCGATGCTCCCAGATGATCGGAGGAAATGTGGAACTCCTCCTCCTCCGACTTAGAGTCAAGCACCGAGAAGCGAGAATGGGTAGCTATGGTAGCTGATGGAGGGACTGGTGGGGAAAAAGGTCTGTAGCTTTGGCCTTAGGCCTATCAAGGTTACCCTCCTTGGGCTGAGTGTCCTCAAAGGTGACCTTGCCCTTGCCCTTCTGTCCCTTCGGATAAGGGCTGTGGGCCGGGGCCTTGCCCTTCTCCTTAGGGCTCCTCGGGGCGGTAGTAGGTCCATGTCTCGCTACACGCCGACGGGGGGGCAAAGCAGGACGGGGCTTATTGCCCTTGGTGTAACACTCTGCAGCCCCATGTCCTACATGACTGCATAGGGTGCAAAAAGGTGGGATTCTCTCGTAGACCACTTTCTGAATAGTGGTCTTTCCCGCTTGGTCGAGCTCGATCTCCTTAATGGGCTCGTCCCTGAGGTCAATCTCCACGCACACCCGTGCGACAGATAGTCTCGAAAGGTTCGCCGTAGCGGCGTCAGTCTCAATGGGATTACCAATGCAGCTGACAATCAGAAAGAGAGCAGTAGGATCAAAGAGATATGGTGGAAGGCCTGGGAGGCTGCACCACACAGGAACGATGGGAGATTCCTCAAGAAAAGAGAAATCAGGGGTGTATTTGAACACTCGACCCGAGCAACCGAAGATATTGAGATGTGTCTTAATCCAAACCGAATTGTAATCCTCTTTCAATTTAAACAGGAGTAAATAATGATTATAGTTAAGAAACATAGGGGTTACTCTACCCTTGAATCCTAATTTGACCAGACTGACAGATAAATCCTGGAGGGAAGGGACAGTGAAGGAAAACTTCAAAATAAGAGCATTATCATACGGCCCAGCTAGGGAAATAACAGTGGGCTCAGGGAAACTTACCTTGAACTTGCCCTCCTCGGAGCGGGTGACGGTCCCGCTCTGCTTGTCCCGAAAGGACTCCAACATGAGTCTCTGATGTCCCGGTTTGGCAGTGGACGTGCCGGATACCGCATCCCGGAAGGATCGAGATTCAAAAATGCGGGAGCTTTGGTTCGCCGTGTGTGGAAGTGGGATGGCCGGGTTCGGTTCTTGGGCAACATTGCTTCTAGACGGCTGCTCATTGTAGTCCATATACGTGACACAGATGGTAGACCCCGGTGGTGGAAAATATGTCAGCAATGGGCCGGGACCACGCCCTAAAATACCAGCCTTCAAAGATGCGGGTGGGCCATTGTTCATGAATGTCGGAGAGAAGTGTCCAAGTCCGGTGGAAGAAATGGTCTGGCCGGGTCGGGGGGGCTCCGCCGGGGTGGCGTTCGGCATACCGGAAAATGCGCCCGCGATAGGGAGGGCTAGCGGGATAAGGCCGGGACCTTCCGCCTGAGGGTCGCCGGAGCCGTCGCCGGAGTCGGCGGTCGGGACGCCGACCGACAGCAGAGTGCCTGAAGTGGCAGCAGTCGATAGGATGGAGGATCCTCGGATGTCCTGCTGGGCGAGAGAAAAAAGGGGAGAATTGGGCTTGGAGATGTTGGTTGATGGGCTGGGCAAGTGGGTTGGGGATGAGGGAAGGGAATGGTATTGGGCCATGAGGGACGGCCCGTGGGAAAAATCTGGGAGTGAGTTGGGCCTGGGCAATGGCCCAATAGGGCAATCCAAATAAAGATGAGCTGAGGGGTAAGAGATGAAGTTTGGGGATCTGGGAAAAACCTCTGCCACCGTGAGAGGAGCTGAGGGCGGCGATGGAGGAAAATCACTCGACGGGACAGCTTCAGGGTGAGGCGGCGTTGGGTTTCCCGAGACGGGGCCGGAAAGAGGGGCCGGGTCGGACGATATCTGGCACGGAGGGAAGGCGGCTTTCACAGCTGTCTTTAATTTGTTAGACCAAGTAGAGATTCTCCCATGGAGGTTGCCGGAATTCGAGAACAAGTTGGGGAAGGATTTCATGAAAATTTGTTGTTTGGAGACAAGTGGGGTATCGGTTGTTGAAGATGAGGCAGGTACAGGGTCCATTTCACCGGCCATCTTTCCGCCGGCGACGCCGGACGCCGGCAGGGAAACTAATATGTGGCAGCGGTCGGGAAATGGGAAGTAGGATGGTAGGGAAGGGGTAGGGTTTTTAGAGAGAGAAAGGAAGAGAGATGATGGAGCATTTTTCATATCAGTCATTGTTGAATAGATGGTTCCAAAGTGAATATCGCAGGAATTATACTTTTATTCCTTTTTTTTTTTTCTGAAATAATACTGGATTAATCAACTAAATACTAAATAAAGCATGTTTATCTTGCATTGTATTTTTTTCAGAACAAAAAGCTTGGGAGCTTAGAACCTATACAACACCATTATAAAAATGAACACTGATTAAAGAGAGAAGGAGCATTATTTCCGTAGTTGTGGTTCAGAACAAAATCTTCACTTGATCTAATTGATTCTTGTTCAGAAAAATAATGGCAGCCTTAGCTTCAGTCTATAGCTTCATTCTGTTCAGCCCTGTGAAACACAAACATAGATTTATTCAAATATAAAGCCAAATTTATATCTTATAACAATATGTAAGAGATAAAAGTTGATGGTAGCTCCAGCCTCCAGGGCATGCAGATACCATTCGAGGGATCACGATCATATCTCGTTCCAAGATAACCCTCGAGCTCGTTGTTCCATATATGCTGCACCGAAATTCCATACGATAAAGTCTATCCGCATCTATCGAGTCTAATTAGTTAACATTAAAAGAATAAAAGAAATAAGATCAATTCACGTTTTTTACGTGGGATAACTTTGGGCCAGTGAAGGTCCTTAGGGGATACTCGGGGAGCGTATATGACGAGCTCAATCCTGAACTAACTCCAACTTCTTCCATGCCTTTGGACAGAATCGTGTCGATATCCATGTTGAGCTTTGGATTTGCAGTAGCGAGTTTCATCGACAGAAACTGCAACAACAGAGCGAAAGATAACGGTTCTCGGGAGATAAATTTTAGCAAATCGATTAAATACACCTAAAATTTTGGTTAATTCAGAAGACTAAGAAATTTTACCTCAACTTGTTTCTGGAGTGATCGAACGTAGTTGATAATCTCGTCAAGCATCATTGCTTTCCCTGTAATCTACAATACAAAAAGTTCCAACGAAGGTTGACATAAATATATATGTCGATGCACATAATTTCGGATAAGTAAAAGAGATTTGACGGTTCAAAAAAAGGGACTTGAGTTGACATGAAAAGGCCAAAAATGACCTTATTACAGCCAGGGACCAGTTCTTGCAGCAATCTCATCCTCTCACTGATCCTCTCTCTCCTCACCTGTAACCGAACGATTTCAAGAGCATTTCCGACGTAAAAAAACTTTTGCTACGAACGTAAAAGTTACGTACCCTTTCCGCAAGGCTGTGACTGTTGGTTGCTTGGCCCCTTTTGGCTCTCTTATGAATGTAATTTTCTTTACGAGGCTCGGCACGTTCTGAATTTTGTTCGGAATTCTGTTTTTCCTGGTCATGTCCCGTAAGCAATTGTGAGGCATCCTTGTGAGTGTCTTCAGCATTCTATAGTAAGTAGAGATAACAGAATAAATCAAACTACCACGTAGAAAATGGCACGGTGTGAAGTGCATAACATTAGTGCGACATGATAACATGATTTGCCGCGCAAGCATCGCGCGCAAACACTAGTATGAGTGTAATAGCAAAAAGCAGTAAAAATTTCGACTGAGTTATAACCTCGGGTGAAGAAGCCTCTGGAAGTACCGATTTCCTTATCCTCGTTCCATAAGGTGACGGTCCTAACGTCCGGTTTTCATGTACCTGAGAATCGGCATTATGGCAAAATGAACTAATGGGATTCGGAACCTTAAGCGCCGGGCCGGGATCAGATGGAAAACGAACAAAACTCGAAGGGTGTGGGCTCTCAAACTCATTCACTAAACACTCACTCTGACTCAGTGTAAAAATAGGATCCCAATTATTATTATGAGCACCATAAAATGGGTAACTCAATTTACTTGTATCCTCACTTTCCTCTTGACCCATTGTCAAGAACACAAACAAGCCCAGAATTGAATAATATAGTTTTTTTGCAGGACTACTTCACAAAGGCAAAATGAACCTAGACAGCTGTTTTAGGCTCTGCCAAAAAACAAACAAAATAAATAAATAAATAAATAAAGGTTGTAGAAAGCAAAAGGAAGAGTGAAATCCAGTGTAACAGACACAATAACTATAATATAGAGAAATAAAAAGCAAGTAACTAATTAATTCACTCTATAGCAAGAATCTATATCTCTCTCTCTCTATATATATATATAATTGCTGGCAGATAACATTAAATACAAGCTAATTAATTATACCTACGTGGCAATTTTATCTTTTCCCTCCAACAACCGTTACTTTTGATTTATTTAACTTTTCATTTAATTATTAGATAATCAACATACTAATCACTTCAAAATTACAAAAATCATTTAAAATTTTTGATTACTGACAATTGACCATATAATGTGTTGACCGTATGGTGTGATTATGTTATTATTGTGGTTACATTTAAATTAATTTTTTTTTGAAAAATGAAAAATGTATTTGAAATTCCTAAATAAATAATGCGTACAAAAATATACATTACATCCAATCTAATAAAAGAAATTTAAAAAAAAAAATATTTCAACCCATTTAATTGTAAACATGGCCTGCAAAAAGTGAAAGAAAAATCATTAATCATTATATGCATACAAATAACTCACAATACTTTATTTACATCTGTGCAAATGCACAAGGTCGAATACTGGTCATTTCAAAAGGTTAAAAGATGCTTAAGGCTAAACTATCATGGAATTAATTTGATCATTATTTTTTTAATGATTAGAAAAAACTTGCTGATAAAGCTAAGTCCAAAATTGGCAGAGTATGAAGGTGTGAGTGTGACTGAGAGTTTGAGAAGCAGTACATCTATTGGGCTTATAATTGCTGTCAACCACACTTCAATTCATTTTATGCTATAAAATTAAGAAGAAAAATAAGAAAAAAGGTGCACTAGTTTCAAATATGTACTTGCAGAATATGCTGGCAAAGAACACACATATTTAACAAAATGAATGACAACACATAAATAGTCATCAAATTGGTTGATATCTACTTTTTCTAACCAAAAATGAATATGTACTAACATACTTTTATTTTGATATGAATTGGGTCATTCAATAATCTTAATTGATGGTACACAAGTTTTTCAATTTTTGTTAGCAATATACTTGCTAAGTTTTAATAGTACTTCAACATTTTTTTTTTCACTTTTTTTTTTATGGTGTGATTAAAAAATCAATTCAAACAATTTTTTACTTCTAACTGTAAGAAACGAGGGAAAAAACGAGTGCGGTCCCCACGCAGATAAAGCGCACCATAAGCAGGGAAAAGTCCTTAGTCCAAGTGAGAGTTTATCCCAAAATCAATTGGTAGGAGGAGGAGTAGCTTATTAAACTTATAAATTAAACCTATTTTCCATATATAATCGATGTGGGACAACCTACAAGTGAATATTTTTCTTTGCTCCATATTTTACTCATAGTAATTTATATGCATTTGCCATGTAAAAAATGTTACATTTTAAAAGCATCATTTGGAGATAACTTTACTTTTACTTCAAGAAAATCCCATCATGGACTGGGCAGGTTCTTCTCTTGTACCTCAAGATTGCTTTCTTAGTTATCTCTATATATCATTTTTGGTATTTATCTTATTTTCCAACTTTTTTTTACTGACACATTTGCCAACTGTTCTTGCAGAGTTATCTTTGCTGGTACACACTCATTTTTCTGACTTTCAACCTAAACAGTTTTATTAAATAAGAAGCTTCATTGGCCCATGGGCCATTGCCCATACCATTCAATGCACTTGTTGTCATATGCACAAACACCTTCAATAACTAAAATGTATATACAAAATTTCCACTTATATTTTATATTATACTATAAATTGTTGACATAGATTAGACATGTCCAGTCAACGGCCCGGCGAGCCTCACATGGGTGACCCTTGACCGTCCGCCAAAAACCAAGGGCCGGTCCATCGAACCGACACTGTCCCGGACCGCCAGGACCAAAAAAAAAAAGAAAAAAGCCAGACCCAGAAATGACCCGTAAAGCCACGGTGCCGGTTCTCAGAACCGAAAACCTACGGGCCGGTTGCAGGCCGAGACCAGGACCGGGACGATGGGCCGGGACGGCTTGTGGCCATGTCTAACATAGATTAGTACATGACTTTACACGAAAAATAATGCTACGATGTTTTGATTTTGTTTGGATTTTTTGGTTTGGTAGGTTAATTTTGGAAAAACAAAATTGTATATTTATTTGTTAGTGGAATTTTGAGTTTATATTAAAATATTATTTAAATAAAATAATTAAAGTTGATTTGATGTAAAAGTATGAGAGAGATGATGCGAATGGATGATTAGTTAAATTTATGTAAGTAGATAAATATTGAATTAAAGTTAATGTAATTCTTAACAATGATTGAGTGGTATTATTTAATTAATATTAGTCATATTGAAAATAATAGGGTTGAATTAAATTCAAGTTATATTTGAGTTGAAAAAAAAAGGATAAATTGCAGTTTTGATACCCAAACTAAAGTTCATTTAGGAATCAGTACCCGTTTTTTAACATTTGCAAAACCAGTACCTAAACTTTCATTCTGTTAGCAACTTTAGTACCCGACCGTTAGATCTCCGTTAAATTTCCGTTAGTTGTTAACGGAAGTAGGAAAAATAGAAGGATATTTGTATTTTTGTTATTGGAAAATTATTATTCCAAGATATACTGCTTGAACTAGAAGAGAAACCATGTCTTCTCATTTTTCTCGATTTATTATATTTTTTTCAAAAAAATAAATCGATTTTATCCAAAAAAATTCTTATAAATAGTGGAGGCTGCGTTTTTTTTTTTGAAAAAAAAAATGGTACAAATGTCTTATGTATATAGATTTCATCATGAGACAAAAAATAAAAAAATTTCCTCCATTTTGCCTACTTCCGTTAACAACTAACGGAAATTTAACGGCGATCTAACAGTCGGGTACTAACGTTGCTAACAGAATGAAAGTCTGGGTACTGATTTTACAAATATTAAAAAATGGGTACTGATTCCGAAATAAACTTTAGTTTGGGTATCAAAACTGCAATTTACCCAAAAAAAAAAAAGTAACTGGTTAAAAATATTTGATTTGTTTTTTTTTTTTTAGTTTGTTTGGTTTTTGTTTATTTATTAAGTACAGTGCATGGTCATAGCAGTTCTTTTATCTTTTACTTTATGTCTTTGGTCATGAGAACATAGAGTAATGGAATCTCAATCCCGTATAGTTGTTCTTCATTGTCCTCATAACGTAGTTTCCAGCTGCAGGTCTGTGCTACTCTGTCGCGATTACATTTAACCAACAATTTTGAAACTACAGCCTATACAAGTGTCGCGAGTAATTTAGTAAGAGTTTTACAAACCACCGGAAAAAGGGAAGCTATATATATTTACGTCACAATGAATGCGTTTTTGCTACATTAGTTAGCGGCAGTTCATAACCATATCTAATTATAAATGTAGCAACAATTGTAAACTGTCGCAATCAATTTTTTTTTTTTAAAAAAAATTGTAGCGGTTCTTAAAATCATCACTAACATTTCTCACCAATTAAATCACAAAAGTTGTAGCATTCTTGCTAATTATTCTGCTATTTCTATCATCCAACTTATTATAAATATAAGATTATCATAACTCACTTGATCAACAAAATATCATGATTTACTTGGCCAATAATATCGTCCAACTATATGTAGAACAATCTACATGAAAAAACCAAATAAATTTGTCCAAAAAGATTATCATCATAGTTAACAAAATTCACCTGTAACAGTACATTAGCCTAATACAATAGCAATATTATATTGAAAACTCTAAATACCATCACGACTAGAGGATGAATCTTTTCATTCATTCTTCGATGAAAGTGGGCGACTGCTTCTTTCATCTGACGGTCCTTACATTTGAAATAAAAATGTAGATTTTAGTTATGCCTGAAAAAAAAAATTACAACTCTAAAAATGTCGACAATTGAATTATAAAAAACACAAATAAACATATTCACTTTATTGAGAATTACTTTCAATTTTTTTTTTCTTTAATATTTGAGTTAACCAACTAGCAAATTGTTCGGGTATTTTGTCTAATGCATTCTCGAAAATTGAAGCGAGAGCCCTACCTAGATTTTTTTTTTTTTTTTTTT